AAAACAGATTAAGTATTCTTTAAGTAAGTATACTATTTATAAGAGTCGCCATCTCTAAAGAGATATCATCTAAGTTAAATGGATATACATGAGAATCTGTAGTAACAGAATATGGTATATCTATATATCTATAGTATGATTCCATTTCAAAAACACCATGCATCAATCTATTACATTCCAAGAATTTATCTATAGTATTTAAAATTTTTTTTAAATTTTCCTCTAGTAGAGGATCTGATAAATCCAAACGAATAGTAAATGAACGATAATCTCTAAAACAAGCAAAATCAGAAAAATGTTTATCATGACCAAAAATTTGTGTATAAAATTTATGTAATTCTGAGTTTGATTCTGCTGCACTACTAACTACTTCTTGATGAACAGTATGTTTGTGTTGGCTTTTTCTTACTTCAAGAATAAACGCTCTTAATTCATTTTTAGAATTAAATAACCGTTTTAATATCATATCTAGATTATTTATATCTAGCATATCATACATTTTTTTTTCAGGATATATAATTAAAACTCCATTAGAAAAATCACCGTGTAAATCATTACCTTGTGTTATAGCTCTATCTATACTATTATTTTCCAATCATCTATTCAAAGTTCTAGAGCTAATTACACCTTTACTTTCCTCATCAAGAGAACCAGCCACGACTAAAGCTCCTGTAACACCTTTTTTAGAAGAAATAATTATAGTAGTATGTATATTTGTTTTAGGTGTACGTTGGATTTTTAGTATTTTTTTTAATTTAAATGAAAAAAGTAAATAAAATTTGTATATTTTATTTATAATTAAATAAAAAAAAATATCTAAATAAACGGGTAAGACGCTTATCTTGACCTTCGCTAGCTCTCAGTATTTTACACACCCTTTACCGATTGTACTGGTAAACTCATAAAAGCGTGTGGTTTTGGTGGGCTAGTTAAACATCACTCTAAAGAGCTATTATTTCTAGTGAATAACACTTGGAATGTATCACTAAATAATTGTGGTGTTAATCAAGGATATCTTGAAACAGCTTTACCTTCTGTTAATTGATTGTAAATAATAGTTAAGAAGTATCATGTAGCTACAACACTAACGATAGAACCAACACTACTTACTAAATTTCAACCATAGAAGGCGTCAGGATAATCACTAATTCTTCTAGGCATACCTTGTAAACCTAAGAAATGTTGTGGGAAGAATGTAAGATTAACTCCAACAAATAAAATTCAGAAATGAACTTTAGCTGCAAAGTGATCGTAAGATAATCCTAATAATTTTGGTATTCAGAAATATCAACCACTAAATAAGGCAAAAACTGCACCCATTGATAATACATAATGGAAGTGAGCAACAACATAGTAAGTATCATGGAAAGCAACATCAAGAGATGCATTAGCTAAAACAACACCACTTAATCCTCCAATAGTGAATAATACTACAAATCCTAATGCAAATAACATAGGTGGTGTTAAGTGTAATGAACCACCATAACATGTAGCTAATCAACTGAAAATTTTAATACCTGTAGGTACTGCAATTATTAAAGTTGCAGCTGTGAAATAAGCTCTTGTATCAACGTCTAAACCAACTGTGTACATGTGATGACTTCAAACTAAGAAACCTAAAACACCAATAGACATCATAGCGTAAACCATACCTAAGTATCCGAATACGTTTTTACCAGATCCAGCTGCGATAACTGTACTAATAATTCCAAACCCTGGTATAATTAAAATATAACAAAAATTTTGATTAATCGAATAGTTAATAATAATAATATTAATCTATTCATCCCTCGCCCAAAACCCGAAGAGACTTCGGGACGGGGGGACTCTAATTAATACTCAAGAATTAAACATCCTTGTTAGGACTTTCTCTTAAATTGTAGTATCATTTAATCTGTTCATTGTACTTTTTAATTTAATAATTTTTTCAATTCCATCTTTATTTAAATGGTCTTTATTTTGAATTATTAAATATGCTTTTCTTCATTTTAAATAGTTAACATGTTTACTAGATAATAAATGAAAGTAATCAAAATAATTAATAACATTTTTAGCTGAACCAAAACTAGTAGATCCATAGTAATATGTATCTTGACTTTTTCTATAGCCAATATTACCACCTAAAAATTCTTTAATTAATAGCAAAATATATTTTTTTTTTTGATCAATTTGAAAATTTAATCTTACTTCAATTCTTTTACTACGATCAAGTATTTTTATTTGAAAACTAGCATCAGCATCAGAAAAACCAGCTAATCAATGATTTTTTAAATTATTACTTAAATTTAATTTTAAACTAATTTTTTTACTAAATTCAGCATAATTATCATGATTTAATATATTATTAGTTATTTGATTAAATTTAGTTTCTGTTCTAATTTTTCCATTTATTAAATTAATTACTTTTTTTATACCTTCTCTAGCTGCTACAACTAGAATAAAAGCATTTTTATTTTTAACTTTTTTAACACTTCCATAACCTAATCTTTCTTTTATATAATAGGCTAAAGAAGCATCTAATGAGTGAAATGCAATAACTAATTGTTGTTTACTACTAAAATGACCATCACCATCTATTAAACCAGCTAAATAATGTCCAAATTGATCATCACTAACAGGTTTTAAATGTTTAGGTACATGAACAGAAATAGATTTTATATTTTCTGTGCTTACTACAATTTCGTTGCATAAAGTCTCTGAGGTTCCATTTAAAATGTTACCTGCTGATTTACTTCATCGTTTTAACTTTTTTACTGTGTCATTTAAGATTGAGTATTTAAAACTTAATATTGAAGTGGTCCCAGCATACAGCAACGTTAAGAAGCCTATATTTACGACCTCTGGGTGTCCGAAGAATCAGAATAAGTGTTGGAATAAGATAGGATCTCCACCACCAGCTACTTCGAAGAATGATGTATTAAAGTTTCTATCTGTTAAAATCATAGTAATACCACCGGCTAATACAGGTAATGATAATAATAATAATACAGCTGTAATAATAACAGCTCAACCAAATAACGCTAATTTGTGTAAACGTATACCTGGACTTCTCATATTTAATATTGTTGTTATGAAGTTCATAGCTCCTAACATACTACTAATTCCACTTAAGTGTAAACCGAAGATTGCTAAATCAACACTTGGTCCACTGTGTGATTGTATTCCTGATAAAGGAGGATAAATAGTTCATCCTGTACCTGCACCATTTTCTATTGCTGCAGAGAATACAAATAATAATAAACTAGGTACTAATAATCAGAAACTAATATTATTTAATCTAGGGAATGCCATATCAGGACCTCCTACTAATAATGGTAATAAGAAATTACCGAATCCTCCGATTAAAGCTGGCATAACCATGAAGAAAATCATCATAATAGCATGAGCTGTTATTATACTATTATATAATTGGTTATCAGCTATATATTGAACACCTGGTCCAGATAATTCTAATCTTATAAGTACAGAAAATGCTGTACCTAATAAACCTGAGAATAATGCAAACATTAAGTATAAAGTACCAATGTCTTTAGCATTAGAAGATAAAAATCATCTTTCTTGTCATTCTGTTGGTTGTTTTAATGTAAAAAATGTTGAACTCTCTTGAGATTTAAGGGAAGCTACATCTTCTTTTTTTTCAGATGTAGTTGAAAAACCTCTTTTTATTGTTATATAATATTTTGTTAAATTATTTAACAAAAAAAAAAAAAAATAATTAAGTTTTTTCTTTTTTATTCGTTAAAACGAATTTTATTTTATAGAAATAACATTATATATTTATATTAACGTTATATTGGGAGGGTACCTAGAATTGAACTAGGATATACTATGCCACATACAGCTGTTCTACCATTGAACTACACCCACCTTATAAAGATTTAATCTCTTTTAGTCCTCTCGCGTTTTATTATATATATAACTACACGCGCACGATGTTAATCTTTTTCTTCGAGGGACTTTTCCCCGGGGGGGAAGGGACTATATTTTACTCTTTTTTACTTTGTACCTCCCCCCTTTTAAAAAAGGGGGGGGGACTTTTTTTATTAATAGATATTTTTGAGATTAAGATAATAATATTTGCTTTTTTGACCTTAAGTATTTTAAAGAGATATTAAAATTTAAACTTTAATACTTTATATAAAATTAAAATACTACCATTTGAATTACCATTAATTAAATTTACACGTATTAAATAAAATCCGCTTTATATGCGGAATTAGGTAAAAGGGAAAAAGAGTAATAATAATAATAAGGCCAAGAGAGAAATTTGAATTCTCATTCTTAATTCATGAAATTATTGTTCTACCGATTGAACTATCTTGGCTAATATAAGATTATATAAATATTAATCTTATTATGTTGGGGCGACTCGAACACCCAATAGTAAATACCAAAAATTTATGACTTACCGATTAGTCGACAACATATAATATGGGTAACAAGACTTGAACTTGCAAAGTCTAAGTTTACTATTCCAATCTAAAGGGAACCTGGCTACCAATTTTCAGCATACCCATAACTGCTCGAGATAAGACTTGAACTTATAACCTAATCATCTTCAGTGATCCGCTCTACCAATTGAGCTTCTCAAGCTATAATAATAATAAATTAAAAAAAAAATAATTTATTATATAACCTCGCACGCTCGCGAGGGGAAAATAATATTTTTATATAAATAGTATACTGCTATGGAGTTATCAGGACTCGATCCTAAAATTACGATATGCAAAATCGCCGTTTTACCAGTTAAACTATAACCCCTATCCGAGAAACGATTCGAACGTTTACGACTTGCGTCACTTAAACTTAAGCTAAGACTGTCTACCAATTCCAGCACTCGGATTAAGGCTAAAATGACTTGAACATTTACTCAAACCATCATGAGTGGTTCGCTTTACCGATTAAGCTATAGCCTTTGGTTGCGGATTTAGGAGTTGCACCTAAAACTTAGGGTCATGAGCCCTATATGTTACTATTACATCAACCCGCATAATTATTAATAAGAAATAGGTGATTTGAACACCTGACCTTTCGCGTGTAAAGCGACAGCTCTACCAACTGAGCTAATTTCTTTCAACCCAAGGGAGATTTGAACTCCCGCACTAACAGTGAAAATGTTATGTCTTAACCAAACTTGACCATTGGGTCTTATATAACAGCCCAGTGCAAGTATCGCACTTACTTCTACCGATTACAAAACGGTTGCATTACTTTTATGCTAACCGGGCGAATTGCATTAATTATATGCTAAAAATATTGATATGAAAATATTTAGTATTTTAATAATTAGTACTTTATGTCTAAAAATCTTAAGATTAGTTCAACTAAAGCCTATTAATCATTATAATGTTAATCATCTAATAGATGTAAACATATAAAGATTATTCGTAGTGTTCTTCTACGTTTAAAAGTATCCTAAAGTAAGCTTCGCGCTTAAATGCTTTCAGCACTTATCTTTAACTGACGTAGCCTTCCTGCCATGCCTATGTGAACATTTACTTAAGTATAAGTAAATGATATAATATATTATATATATATATAGCATAAACAACAGGTAAACCATAGGTCAATATACCCAACTCCTTTCGTACGAAGGGGCTATCCTTATTCTACTTTAATTCCCTCTAGAAGATAGAAACCATACTGTCTCACGACGTATTAAACCCAGCTCATGTAGCTCTTTAATCGACGAACAGTCGAACCCTTCATGATTTTTGCATTCATGTGGATGAGCTAAGCCGACATCGAGGTGCCAAACCGCGCACTCAATTTGTACTCTCTTGCGCAAATTAGCCTGTTCAATTATGTTATCATAAAAGATTTTTCTTTTATTTCCACTTTTTTCAAAATGGTTCAGACTATTTCATCATCTTTATTAACTATTTATATGCAATAAGATATTGTTATTATTATTATTATAATTATGTACCACTTATTCAACCTTTAACACCAAAAGATCCAATACGTGTTTTAGAATTTAATTTAGTAAATTGTATATTAGGTCTTATATTACCTCTTATTACTGCTGAAGGATAACCTTTAATAGATGTATAAGCATTTACTAAATTACCTTTATATTTAAATTTGTGTAAAGATCTTGAAGCAGTATAACGTTTAGATAATCTACCTGCACCTTGTAATCTAACACCTGATACTCTTTTATATTTAATATCATTTAATACAACTTTTTTTAAATATTTTGAATTATCATCTGTTAAATTATTTAATACATTATTTAAATTATCACTATTATTCATTTCAAATATATTACTTAATAAATCTTTTGAAATTTTATTTAATTTAATATTTTTAATATTTGCTTTAGTAACTAATTTTTTAAGAAAACGTGATAATTTTCTTTTTCTTCTTAATCTTAATACTAATGGTTGTGTAAATATATCACTATTAAAATAAAAGTATTTTAAATTAATAATATTAAATTCTATATTTTTTTTAAATATTTTTCTTATTAAATTTATTAAACCTTGTAAATAAGAATTTTCAAATTTAACTTTATTAATGTAAAGTAATTGTTTAAAATACATGTAGTCTTTTAAACTTTTTAAAGATTTAGTTAAAAAATCTTTATAATAAAGTTTTTGTATTGAATATACCTTTGAACTATAATTAGGTAAAACATTTGTTAAAATTCTTTTTTTATCTTGTTGTTTTTTTAGTATTGTTAATCATACATTTTTTATTAGTTTTAATTTATTTTTAAAACTTTTATTATTAAACAATCTTAAATATCTTTTTTTTAATGTTATTAAAAGATTAAGTTTTTGTCTATTATATACGTATAATGTAATATTTACTTTATCATTAGTATGTTTAAATTCACCATCACCTAAAAAAATTTTGTTAGTAGATAATTTTCTTAATCTACGACGTAATTTTTTTTTTCTTATTTTAGATTCTATTTTTAAATTATATGAACTAAAATAACCATTAATTAATTTCATAACTAATCTACTTGCTACAGGTATTAAACTTAAAGTATTTTTGTTATAAAGATAAATACTATTTTTTCAATCTCTTACAACAGGAACAAAATCTTTATTATGAATAGTAATATTTTCACTATTTAATGATTTTTTCTTATAAGTGTTTTTTAATTTTGATTTTATAATATTTAACATATTTAAAATATATATATATAAGATATTAATATAATTAATAAATTTAATTATATAATATTTAAGCTTGGTTAAAACCAAGTCTATTTCATTATTATTACTTAGTAATAATAATTATTATACGAATTAATAGTTAATAAAGATGTTGGGCATTAACAAAGGATTATTGTTAGCAATACTCACCTTTTAGTCGTTGAACGTCCTTATTTTATTATCATTCCATAAGGATGATAGTTAACTAGCTAAATACTAGCCCGCAGGGCGGTCTTATCACCATGCGGGCATCGCCCGATTTTTTGGAACTAGTTATTGCTAAAATAAGTTTCGCTTCAAATACACTTAACCTCGCGTGCGTGCAGCTTGCACGCTCGCGAGGGAATATAATTTTAAGTTGTCTTTGAAATTTACCCAATCTATTACCAATATTTTATAATATTGGAGGACTCACAGTTATAAATCCCTAGCGTAACTTTTTCTATAATCCAAGACCTTTCCTTAATGCATCTTGTGATCATATGCCCCGCTTACGCGACTGATAGACTTGTAGGTCAAACAGTAAAGCAAGATTTAGCCATTAAACTTTTAAAGTATAAATAATTATCATATTAATAAAGGTTAATCTCGTATATTAATATGAAAAAAAAACTTTTAAAATATTAAAGTTTAAAATACATCTATTTACCATATAGTTAAAATCTTACTTAAAAATAAAATAAATATTGAATTTAATCTTATAATAACTGTATAAATATAAAAATAAATATAACAAATTAAAATAATTGTAAATAAATTTACAAATTTACATATGAACTTTGGATATACCCAGGTACTTTTTGTGGGATCTGTGCCCCGCATAAACTGCCTTCTAATCCTCAAAAGCATATAAAAGGAAACGAATAAAGGTGTTTCATTGTTATCATACAACTACCTTATACACTCGCAATCATCCTGTATTTTAACTCTTGCAATTAGTAACAGTAAAGCTGCATAGGGTCTTCTCGTCTATCTAGAGGTAAACAGTATCTGCACTGCTATTCCAATTTCACTGAGACAATCATCGAGACAGCTGTTGTATCGTTAAGTCATTCATGCAGGACCGCATTTAACGGCCAAGGTATTTCGCTACCTTAGGACCCTCATAGATAAGGCCGCCATTAATCGGGGTATCCTTCAAAACCTTAGTTAAAAACCAAGGTAAATTCGTTACCCTGCCGACATTGGGCAGACATCACACTCAATACTTTGATATTTAATCTTTGCAGAGTGCTGTGTTTTTATTAAACAGTCGTACAACATTATTTCATGATTCCTCTTAAAATTAGTTTAATTAAATCATATCCTAAGATATGTTAAACTAATAATAATGGCCCTCCTTATCCCGAAGTTACGGTAGTCAATTTGCCGAGTTCCTTAATGATTGTTCACTCAAACGCCTTTGTATTCTCTACTTGCTTACTTGTGATAGTATCTAGGTACGGTATATATTAACCTTATTTGTATATCAGCCTTTAATATACAATAATTTATATAAATATAATTTTTTTTATTATATTGTATTTAAATTATACAATCTTGAAAACTTGTAACAAGAAGTTATATAATAAATACAAAAAAAAACATTTAAAAGACTTATTATATTTATATTAAGTAAAAAAATTTTCCAGAACCTTTATTACTTATTAAAGGTTTTGTTTTTTTACTTAGAAGTATTAATATATAAATATCATCAAAATTACCTTTTGATTAATATTTTTAGATACCGAAAATTAAATAAAATACCATAAGCTTAAGGCGAGGATAAACCTTTTTCGTTACTCATGTCAGCATTCTCTCTTGGATTATATAAATAAAATAATATTAATAATAAAATAAAATAATAAAATATTATTAATAATTATTTAGATTTATTAATTCTTATAAGAATTAATATAATATATTAATCCAATGTTCCGCTACCCCACATATACAATATAAATATTTATTAAAATGTGTACAAGGTTTTGGTATATTATTTAGATCCGTTAAATTTTCGGAATTTTTCTCTAAAATAAATCAGTGCTCTGTTACGAGGTCTTCAAAAAATGGCCGCTTCTAAGCCTATTTCCTGATTGTATTAAAAAAAAACATCCTTAATTTCACTCAACAATAATTTTGGAACCTTAACTCTTGTTCTGGGCTGTTTCCCTTTAGACATACAACCTTATCGCACTATGTCCGATTATTTAACATTCATCTTTGCCATTCCGAGTGCAAATACTCTCCGGTAAAGTCACTACAACCCCCCGATGTTGACAAAATCAATTGATATTGTCCGAGATCACAGTTCTGTACCTGCTAAGATGTTAATTAAATTACCTACTCATATAGGTTTCGCGGAAAACCAGCTATACTAGTCAGTTTTGTCTTTCACTAACTTACCACAATTCTTCGGATATCTATACAACGATAACCCGTTCGGGCTTTTATAACCCTGACCATGGTAAGATCACTAGTCTTCGGGTCTAATTCTAGATACTTAATCATTTTCTCATAATTGGTTTATCTAAGCTAGTTTCTTGGCTTTTTACCAAGAAATCATTGCTTGCATCTAAAATTAACTTGCTGACCCATTATGCAAAAGGTACGCTCTTATTTTTTATTTAAATTTCACTCGAGCTGCTTATAAAACTACTATTTCAAATTTTACCTCACGGTACTATTCACTATCGCTTATATATTATATTTAGCCTTAGAGGAAGGTTCCCCTTTATTCAAACAGATTTTAATCCATTTTACTTTAACAAGTTTTGTTACTAGGCTTTTGTTATTTAGTTTACACCAAATAACAATCTCGTTTGATTTCTTTTCCTAAAGTTACTAAGATATTTCAATTCACTTCGTTTATTATCAGATTTCTCTTAGAAACTAGTTATACTAGATTTTCTTTAATATATAGCTAACTATCCATAATAGTTTCTTTATATACTTGCCTTGATTTTCATCAAGAAATTTAGGTTTTCATATCACCTATATTGTAAGATACTTTTACAATTTTAATTTTTACTTCAGGTTATTATGATTCGAACATAACTACTCCTCAACCCAAATGAGACGCCTAACCAACCTGGCTCTAACCTGTAGATTTATAAAATCCCCTCGCGAGCGTGCGCGTTGCACGCGCGCGAGGTCCCCTCGCCTTTTTAAAAATTTATTTTTAATAATAAATTTCCCTTCGCGAAGTTTTATTAACTAATTATAATTAAACATTAAGACATATCTTAATTAAATATTAAGATATATTATAATTAAAGATTAAGATATATTATATCAGAGAGTATATGATTCGAACATATGAAAGTTTTACCTTTAGCTAAACTCAAGTTAGCCGCTTTAAACCACTCAGCCAACTCTCTTATTTTAATATTAATTATATTATAATTATAATTATATATTTTTTTATTTTATATTTATTTAGTCTATTCGCGTGCGTACTAACTACACGTGCGCGAAGTAAAGTTATATAATAAATGATTCTTCAGTGACTCGAACACTGAACATATCCTTATCAAGAACACACTTTACCGGTTAAGTTAAAGAACCAATAAAATTATCTATATACAACTTCAAGAGCACTTAGATTTGAACTAAGAAATATAAGGTTGAAGCTTACAGTTTTACCTATTAAACTACGCTCTTCGGAAAAGAGATGAATCGAACATCTAAGTGTAAATACACAATATTTAGCAAATATCTTACCCTACCAATAGCAACTTTTCCTTTGTTATTTTTTTTTTATTGTTAATAATAAAAAAAAAATTACGGGCTAAGTCGGACTTGAACCGACATCTTTTTTATTGACAGCAAAACACTTTACCTATTAAGTTATTAACCCTGTCTTATTTATAGACTCCGTCCCTCTCCCCTCCGCAGGAGGGGCGAGGGACTCTTTAGGTCTAATTAAAGATCTTTATCTTTTTTTTTATGACTAGCTGAATTCGAATCAGCACAACTTAATTGGTAAATAAGTAGTCTACCGTTAACTTATAGTCATTAATATTATTTTAAGACTTATGGGACTTGAACCCATATGGTAATGATTAAAAGTCACATGTTTTACCTTTAAACTAAAGTCTCTTATATATATTTAGTCTCCGTCCCTCGCGTATTATTTGCGTGAAGTTTTTATACTATTAAATATATATTTTACAAATACTACTGCTATTATTTAATTTTTGAAAAGAATTATATAATAATACTATTACCTCCCCGAAGGGCGAAGTAATTGTTTTTTATTAATAATTAATAACCTCAATAATATACAGAAATATATAAGAATAATCAAACAACATCAACAAAGTGTCAGTATAAAATACCTGACTCATAACCTAAATGATGATGATCTGTTAAGTGATATGCAGCTAAACGTCATAATCCTACTGCTAAGAATGCTGTACCTATTATAACGTGTAATCCGTGGAAACCTGTACCAAAGTAGAAACATGATCCGTAAACACTATCAGAGATAGTGAATGAAGATACTGTATATTCTACACCTTGGAAGAAAGTGAAAACAATAGCTAATAAAATTGTAACTACTGTACCATATAATGCACCTTTTCTATTACCTTGTATTAATGAATGGTGAGCGTATGTAATAGTAACACCAGATGATAATAAAATAATTGTATTTAATAATGGTAATTCAAAAGGATTAACACCTTGTATACCTAATGGAGGTCATTGTGCTCCTAATTCAACACTAGGTGATATAGCACTATGGAAGAATGCTCAGAAAATAGCTAAGAAGAAGAATACTTCTGAGATAATAAATAAACCTACACCTAAATTTAATCCTTTTTGAACTGCATTTGTATGATTACCTAAATATGTACCTTCTGAAATTACATCTCTAAATCATAAAGCCATAACATAAGCTACATTAATTACAGCTACTGGTACTAAGTATTCAAAACCTTGAAAACCGTGCATAAATAAAACTGTAGATGTTGTAAGTATAAATAATGATAAACTAGTAAATAATGGTCATGGAGATGGAGAAACTAAATGGAAAGGATGATTTTGAAAATTTCTTTTTGATTTATATACCATTTAATATTTATTTTATAATAAACAAGTTTTCAATTAAACTATTTTTGTTTTATAGTTATAACTATAGCACCTACCATACCTACTAATAATATTACTGAACTTATTATTAATCATAATGAATAGTTAGTATACATAATATTACCTATACCTGTTATATGAGTAAATTCTATTAATGAATTATCTCAACTTTTACTACTAGCATAAGCTATTTCTTGTTTTAAATCTATTATATTTAATATTTCATTATCTAATTGTACATTATATACTTCAGAAAATGAATTTGATAAACTAGTAACTATTGTATTATCTGTTAAATTACTAGGTATTACTTGTCCTATTATAAAATAAAAAAGTAATACAGTTATAACAGCTAAAGGTATATCGTTATTAGTTTCACTAACTAATTCAGAAATTCTAATATTAATTAACATTAATATGAATAAAAATAAAATTGAAACAGCACCTACATATACTAATATATAAGATAATCCTATATAATCATATCCTACTAATATTAATAATCCTGCTATATTAACAAATAAACCTATTAAAAATAATACAGATACAATAGGATTTCTACTAATAATAGTAAATATACCAAATAAAATAGAAATTATATAAATAAAATCTACAAATTCTAATCTATAACCATTAGTTATATAATCGTTTAATAAAAAAATATTATTCATTAAATAAAATAAAACTAATCTTTTATTATTTTATACAAATATAAAATATCAAGAAAGGAGTTACATATTTATGATCTAATTAGGAAGAAAAGGAATCGAACCTTCGATGGCATATAGCCATTGAGTTTACAGCTCAACCCGTAAACCAACAAACGGACCCTTCCTTAATTATCTTTATATACTTTATTGAACAATTTTTAATAATTCAAAAAAAGATATAGAGATAAAATAAATATTATTATTATAATTTTTTTTTTTGTTAAATTTTATCCATCCCGTGCAATTTCCATTACACGAACCTTATTTCGACTTAACACCAATCAAAGTCATGCATACGAAAATAAGACATACATATTTATATACCTGATTATATATATTAATACATAAGCAAATCAAACTTATTGCACATACTTCTTTCAGCGCCTGACGAGTGGTTAGTACCTAGCTGAGAATAAATTCACCGTGCCGTTGGTGATACACGATTACTAGTAATTCCTTATTCATGTAGTCGAGTTACAGACTACAATCCATATTATATCCTATTTTGGGGATTAGCTCCATTTCACAATATCGCATCCCTTTGTTAAGGCGTATGTGGCACGTCTATAGCCCACAGTATTAAGGCCATGATGACTTGTCTTAATCCCTATTATCTATATCCTATGTAGCGGCGAACCACTTTATATAACTAAATAAAGTGAGGGTTTTCGTTAATTAAAGGAGTTAACCAGATCTCACGACATTAACTAAAGACAGCCGTGCAGCGCTTGTAACAATTTTTTAATTGTTATTCAAACTGTGGTAAGGTTTTTCGCGGGTTATCGAATTAAATAACATACTTCACTACTGGTTTCAGAAACGGTCTAATGATTTCAGTTTATATGTTGCCATATTACTCTTGAGGTGGAATGCTTACACTTTCATTTATAGACTAAATATTAAATCTAGTCTATGACATTCATCATTGTCTGCTTGGACTACTAGGGTATCTAATCCTTATCGCTACCCGAGCCTTCGTCCCTCAACGTCAGTTTTTACATAGAAGGACGCCTTCGCCGTTATCAGTCCTTCTGGTATTTGCGTATTTTATCCCTACTCCAGAAGTTCTTCCTTCTCACATAAAACTCTAGTAAAAAAGTACTCATTTAGAGTTTAATTTACCGTCTAGGTACCCTTTAAACCTAATAAAGATGACTAACACTAGTCTTCTACGTATTACCGCGACTGCTGGCACGTAATTTGGTCAAGACTTATAAATAGGAAATTGTCATTATCATTATCCTATTTAGAATTTTATACGAGTTAATCGTTATTGTATTTCTTGAATACATTTACATTCTTCCAAGTTACTGGTTCAGCCTTTCGGCCATTGACCAATATTCCTCACTGCTGTACTAATACGCATTGGGGTTTTCTCAGACCCAATGTGGTCGATCGACCTCTCAGTCACGACTACGGATATTAGCTAGAAAAGTCATTACCTTTCCTACTACTCTCCGAGATAAAGATTAACATCTTAAAGCGGACCTTTTATTTTCCTTTCTTTTATAAGGGATTTTTCCCTTACTTTAAGGTAGCCAAATTATCTTTTACTCACCTGTACACCACTACTACTCATTTTATTTTTATAAATAGTCGTTCGATTAGCATGTGTCAAGTACTTGGACAGCGTTCAATCAGAGCCATCATCAAACTCAAAAAATTTAATCTTTACAAGATATCTTTATTATATCTCTATATTGTTATATACTTTTTATCTTTAATCTTTATTACTTCATGTAAAAAAAAAAAAAATAAATTTGATCGAAATAATCGATTACAACCAGTGAGGTTCGAACTCACAATTATCGTTTGGAAGACGACTAGTTTACCAATTAACGTATGGTTGTCAATTTTAAGTTATATATGGATATTCCATAATATCTATATTGTAATAGACTTTTTTTATAACTAAAATTATATATAGCTATTAGCTCCCTCCGGGGGCATCGCCACTGCTGGAAGCCGCGGCGCTGCTAAAATATAAAGAATTTTTATTTTTATTTTTTTTTTTGTTAAAGATATAAATAACCCGGTTTCTGTTTTAAATTTTAATAATTCTAAATAAATACTAAGCATAGGATTATTGTTCGCAATTAATATTAACTTAACGTTTTAAATAATTATTAGTTTCTGTTAAATTCCTTATATCTTTATAAAGGTTGATAATCAATCATGTATGCTTAAAAAGTATTGGATTTTCCTTTTACATAAAATTTTCATATCTTTAATTAAATAAAATAAAGCTTTTTAGCTCCCTGCGGAAGGGGGAGAGCCCGACTGCTGGAAACCACCGCGCTGTAAAAATATCTTTATATTTTAAAGCTTAAAAGCTCTTTAAATATTAAGTTTAAGTTTTAATTAAATTAGTGTAAATCTAATCCGTCTTTAATGTAAGAACAAGTTAAAACAACAAAAACTTGAGCTTGAATAAATGCAATAGCTAATTCTAATCCAGAGAATGCAATTATAAAAGCTAAAGGAACTAAACCTAAGAAGAAGAATAATATACCACTAGTCATTATATTATATGTAAATCCACTTAAAATAGATAAAAGCATGTGACCTGATAAAATATTAGCTGCAAGTCTTAAACCTAAAGAAACATTTCTAGATAAGTATGAAATGAATTCGATTAAAACTAATAAAGGTAATAATGCTAAAGGACAACCTGAAGGTACAAATAATGAAAAGAATTTTAATCCATGTCTTTGGAATCCTAAGAATGTTGCACCTAAAACAACTGTGAAACTTAATGAGAATGTTAAAATAAAGTGTGATGTTGATGCAAAACTATATGGCACCATTCCTATTAAATTATTTACTAATATAAATATAAATAATGCATATATAAATGGGAAATATAATTGTCCTTTTGTAGGATTAAGTTGGTTTATTACTATACTGTGTACTGTAGCATATATAGTTTCCTGACTTATTGATCAGTTATTTGGTATAATTTTATTATTATTTGTTGCTAATAAACTATATGTTAATATTATAAATCCACCTATTGATAGATATAAACCTATATTTGTTAATGATATATTAATGTTTCCTAATAAATTACTATTTAAAGAAAATAAATCTCTTACTTCAAATTGGTCTAAAGGACTCAATACGAAATTTACTGCTCTCATTTATGATTGTAAAAATTTTAAATTTAATTTTTAAGTAATATGGTAAAGATATTCATAGCTCCCTACAGAGACTTCCCCCTCGGAGAGGGGGGAGCCCGACTGCTGGAAGCAGCGATGATGTTATATAAATATTTAAGTTTAAACTTAATAAAGCTATTAACTATAGCTTACTATAATTTATTTATATAAATACGAGAAATAAAAATACGTACAAATTTTGGTAAAATATATTTACTAAATGCATATATTAATACTGTTAATATAACAAATGCAAATACTACTTGATTAACAAAAAAAAATGGTACTAATTGTGGCATATTTATATTTATTTTTCTTGGTTTAGATAATCTATTAGATTTATCACCACTCCTAAAGAATTTAGGCATTGGATTAAATATAATATTTTTACATTTTTACTTTAACTAAGCCCTTAAGATGAATCGAACATCTATCAAAATATTAACAGTATTCCGCTCTACCGTTGAGCTATAAGGGCTATAAATAGCAGAAGCTAATTATATAATTATTATATTCCTATCTAAGACTCGAACTCAGATCCGAATATCAGAAGTATTCTGCTTTACCATTAAGCTAATAAGAATAATACCCTCCGAGGGAGAGGTATTAATAATAAAACTATTATTATTATAATTATATTATTTTTTTTTTAATTTACATTATAAATTAAAGAAGAAACTGAATAGTGTAATCCATCTAAGATTGGTGCTGGGTAAATACCAAATAATACTGTTAAGATAACAAATATTAATAACATTATAAATTCTCTTCTAGTTACATCACCTATATTATCTTTAAAGTAAACAGAGTAAGAACCACCAAAAACTATTCTATTATACATAAATATAGTATAAGCAGCAGAGAATACTATAGATGAACTAGCTAATACACCTAATATAGGCATTCTTTCAAATACACCATATAATGACATAAATTCACCTAAGAAATTAAGAGTTAAAGGAGTACCACTATTACCTAATGATAATATAAAGAATAATACAGAGAATATAGGCATAATTTGAGCTAAACCTCTATAATATGTAATTAATCTAGTAGATGATCTATCGTATAAAATACCTCCTGCACAAATAAATAAACCTGATGAAACAAAACCGTGAGCTAAACCTAAAGCTATTGAACCTTCAATACCTTGAATTGTATTACTAAAGGCACCAATTAAATAAACAGCAGCGTGAGATACTGATGAATAAGCAATAAGTTCTTTAATATCTATTGTTCTTAATGTACTAAAACTAGCATATAATATTGTTATTACACCTATTACATAAATAATATATGTATAGTTTAAAGAAGCTTTAGGTAATAAAGGTAAAATTAATCTAAATATACCATATAAACTTAATTTTAAAACTATACCAGCTAAAATAATACTTCCTGATAATGGTGATTCAACGTGAGCTTTTAATAATCAAGTATTTAAGAAAATTACTGGTGTTTTTACAGCAAAAGCTATAAATATACCATAGAATAAAAATAATTGAGTTATATAACTAAAATTTGATTTTGATAAAGCATCAAAATCTGTTGTTCCCATTATAGAAGACATAGCTATTATTGATAATAACATAAATAATGATCCAAATAATGTATATAAGAATAAATAAAAACTAGCTCTTACTTTATTACTTGAACCAAATAATCCTATTAATAAAAATAATGGTGGTAATATACTTTCAAAAAAAATATAAAATAATAATACATCTAGTACTAAGAATACTGCTAATAATAATGTTTCTAATAATAACATTATTACTACAAATGATAATACATTTTTAGATGTAATTGAATTTCAATTTGATAATATTGCTATAGGCATAATTATTGTTGTTAATAAAACAAAATATATAGATAAACCATCAACACCTAAATATATATCAAAATAACTTATTTGGTAATGTTCTTCAATAAAGCTATAGCTTTTACTACTAAAATCAAATATTATAAACATTACTAATGATATTATTAAATTTATTATAGATGTTAATAAGGCTATTGATTTTATTTTTATTTCATTAAATAAACTTAATCCATAATTTGTTTCTATTGTAATTAAACCTATTCCTATTAAAGGTATTATTAATAATAATAAAGACATAATTAAATATATATATAATAAATTTACTACTAATAAAATATTTATTACTAGCCCCAAGGAGGTCTTGTCGCCTTGCGGGCGAGGCCCGAAGGGACTTCGCGTTTTTAAAAATTTGATTTAAAAAATGCGAAGAGACTATTAAATTTATATAATATAATATTTTACATATTACACTTCATGTATGCCAATAAAGTTGTTATTTAATATATATAACTATCTATATATCTATATTGAGATATACTTTTATATAACTAAAAAAGTTATTTTTGGTAAATTTATAAGATATTTTTATCTATCCGTCCCTCGCCCGAAGGGATTCCTTAATGTTTTCTCTCTAATTTTGATCTTGTCTAGGACTTCTTGGTGTATTACTTCTATTTGTTATATTAGGACTGTTATTATTGTTTACTCCATTATTATTTCTAGAACTAGAATTTCTAGAACTAAAAGATCTATTAAGACGATTAAGCATTTCAAGATCCATACTATTTCTAGTATTTATATTAGGATGGATAGGATTGTTTGCTCTATTATTTTGATTAGTCATATCAAAATTGTTAGAATTGTTTGCTCTATTATTTTGATTAGTCATATCATAATTGTTAGAACTGTTTACTCAATTATTTTGATTTAAATTTCTATTATTATTATTATTATTAGAATTAATTTCATTTATTATTCTGCTTTCATTACCAAAAGGCATTGATGATTGATTGTTAGTATTATTTGCTCAATTCGTTTGAGGATAACAACCATTATTATTTGCTCAATTCGTTTGAGGATAACAACCATTATTATTTGCTCAATTTGTTTGAGGATAACAACCATTATTATTATAATTAGTTTCATATACCATTCCACTTTGTTCATTCATACGAGCACCTAATTCACCACCAGTTAAATTTTGAGGATTTAAATCTATACTTCTACTTTTCATATTTTTATTTCTTGTTTCATTTCTTCTTGCCTTTTCAATTTCTTTTCCTCATTGTGTTCCTGGAGATCCTTGCCGACTAGCAAAACTTCTTTTTTGCATTTCTCGTTGATAAGCTGTGGGATTATCTATTCTTAATTGATCTAATTTAGCTCTTTCTTTATCTTTTTTTATTTTATTTTTTGCAGTACTTCCTATATCATATCTTTTTATACCTAATGAATCAAATAAACCAGCTTTTCTCTCGAATGTATCATTTTGAGTAACTACTCCACTATTTGAAGAACAATTAAGTACTTCACTATTTGAAGGACCAGATTGACTATATGAAGGACCAGATTGACTATTTGAAGGACCAGGTATTACTTGATTACTAGTATTATTGTAATTAGAAGGGTCATAATGAGATCCGTTATTATAAGGATATCCATTATTATTAGGATCAAAAGAATCTCTGTTATTATATGAGTCAAAAGGATCTCTATTAGGGTTAAAACGGTCTCTATTAGGGTTAAAAGAATCTCTATTAGGGTTAAAACGGTCTCTATTACTATTAGGTCTTCTATCATTAGAATCTCTTCTATTATTAGAAGAATTTCTATCATTAGAAGAATCTTGACCTAAATGAGAATTGGGATTATGAGGACCAGGAGGACCTTGATTACCTGGAGGACCTTGACTACCTGGAGGACCAGAAGGATCTCTATTACCTGAAGGACCTAAAGGTGGACCATTATTACCGTTAATTTTTAATATAATAAACATATCAATAAATTCTAAACATCCCTTTATATTAAAAATAGCAATTATTATAACTAATAACACTATTAATATAAAAATTGAAGTTATTAAAGGGCTTTGTTTATCTATATATAAAGTATCAATTATAAACCATAAACATAAATATATTAATACAAGATTATAAATTAAATCTTTTAATGATAAGATTAAAGGATAATCATCATTATAAGAAGTAAATAATGTTAACATAATTAAAGTTAATAATATAATAATATAATAATTTATAAAAAAATTAATAAAATATTTATCGTATATTTCTTTAATATTGTTATTATTAGTTACTATATTAACAATAATAAATAATATTTTACTAATAATATAATATTTAAAACTAGAATAAGCTAATATTATATAAAAGTTAGGAGATAAAATATTATCCATAAATTTATCAATAGATGTTAAGAATTCATAATTATCATTAATATCTTTTATAATTAAACCAAGAATAAAAAAATTAAATAAATATTTAAATCATTTACTATATTTAGTTATCTTTTCACAATTAAATAAAAAAATATAATAATTTTTTACCTTTTCATTTTGTAAAAATAAAACTAAAGGATGATTCATGATTTTTACAATTTGTTTATTATAAAGGTAATCATAAATAGGTTTAATATAAAAAAAATAATAAGATATAAATAATGGAGAGTACTTAATTAAATATTTAGAAAGATAGTTAGAGAAGAAATTAATAAAATTCTTAATATAAAATACTAAGATATCAAGAATAAAATATTTAATATAAAAATATCAGATTTTTTTAATAATAATTATAAAGAAATCAATAAAATCAATAATAATTATATAAATAGATTTAATATATTTACTTTTTTCTAAATCTGTAAATATTATTGCAAAAATATATTCAAATATAGGCAAAACTAAAGCAAACATAGATAAAACTAAAGTAAAGAAATGTTCACAGGATTTATTAATAAACCAGAAACTACACACGGCAAAAGTATAACATAAGCAATAGTAACAGGTAATAAAACTAATCAACAAACTGACATTAATTGATCAAAACGAATTCTAGGGAAAGAAGCTCTAACTCAAATAAAAACAAATACTAATATAGATGTTTTAACAGCTAAATTTATAGGAGAAGTAGACATAATAGCTATTAAAAAATGAAATAAAGTATCATCACGACTTAAATCTAGAAGTGAAATAATACTATAAACGAAAATAGATAAATAACCTCCAAAGAATAAAATACTATTTAAAATACAAATTAATATAATACTAGCATATTCAGCTAAGAAGAAGAAAACAAAAATACTAGCAGAATGTTCTGTCATGAAACCACTTACAAGTTCTGATTCAGCTTCAGCCAAATCAAATGGCGCTCTATTAGTTTCTGCTATAGAACCTATAAAGAATACAATAAATAAAGGTAATAAAGGTAATAATAAAGCTACTGCTTTTTGTGATTCTACTATAGTAATAACATTTAAACTACCAGTTAATAATATAACTAATAATAATACAGAACTTAAGATTAACTCATAACTAATTAATTGAGCAGTACTTCTTAATGAACCTAAAAAAGCATATTTAGAATTAGCAGATCATCCAGCTAATAATATACCATATGTAGCTAAAGCACTAACAGCTAACATATAAAATACACCTAAACGATGGTCAGATATAAATGTACCTGGAGCATAAGGAATTACAAGATAACCTAATAAAGAAAAAATTAAAGTTATAACAGGTCCAAGGAAGA